AGTAAAATAAATTGTACATTGCATCTAAAACAGAAAAGGAAAGAAATAGTTTGGCTTCAAGAATTTAATTAATTGTTGATTATTCCTTTCAGATTAATAAGCTCAGACGCGCTGGCTAGAGGATTGGACATTCTGGATGTGCAGTTAGTTGTATCTTACGATCTCCCGAAACACATCAAGGGTTACATACATAGAGCTGGTAGAACCGGGCGTGCTGGAAAACCAGGAACTGCGATATCTATACTCGCAGCAAATCAGGTCGGGATATTCAAGCATATGTTAAGTGGTGCACATAAAACTGTGCCCAACATTGAACAAATGGAGTTGCATGCTATTGCAAGTGCAGTTAACTATGAGGGTCAACTTGCAAAATTGACAGAGATTCTTGAAAAAGAGAAGAGTGAAAGCTTGGAACGAACAAAGGCTACTAAGCGTAGACGTGTAGTAAATGCGACGAAACAAAATAAAAATGCAGAATAATATTTATGTAAAAAATGAAATAAAAGAATATGTGCACAAATTTATTTATATAATACTTGCATAATATTTAGTTATCAATTACCTTCCAAAAGTCCTGTACAACGATAGAATTGATATTTATGTTAACAGTCGATCTGTAAAGCTTTATCTTGTAAAAGGTGCTGTAGAAAAAACATATCAAATACAGATAATAAGGTAACATCGATAATAACATTTTATTGTCTGAAGTTAATAGTATCGTACATCATGCTCATTCCCTATGATTCGTTCTATGGGTAGTCGCGGTAATTCTTTTGTTTCGAATTGTATACTAGTTATTACTCCCATTGTTTTTATTCCGTCGAAGGCATTGTATTCACAGTTTTAATTTACAAAAGGTAAACGACGTCGCATTTATGGATAACGATGCAGACACAAGTTATTTACTATTATTGCTATACATGGCCTCGTAGCCCGAAACTCATCGCACTGAAGTTTCCTTTAATATAGGAATGCTTGATTGCAGCTTCCTTCGACTAAATTCTCTAATTAAATTATTAAAAAAATTTTATGACGGTTTGATTTTCGCAGACATAAAGCTATAGCGCATAATCGTGGCAGCGATAGATCGGTATTAAATTTAGTTACAATAATACATCTACTTTTTACTCTTGTTTTTAAAACAGAAAATAGATTCCGAAATAAACTAACATCGAAATCTTTTTTTTTTCCATAGCTTTTTTTTTAGGAAATCTATCTGTAAGGTAATGCTGTTTGTAAAGTACCAAAAAGTGAATAATATGAAAAACGATTGTTTATACAACTCTAATTAATCAGTTCACATTTAATGGTAAACAGCATTCCCCTCACGATACATTTATATATGCGTTTGACGTTTACATTTTGCGATACCTTTCACCATATCAATGTACAATGTGCAAATTTTGATTTTCATTATAAACAATTGTGCGTTTTCCCTTCAGTATCGCATTATTTCCACGTGACATTTAATTACATGACTCCAGCCAAAGTTTGGACACTCTCAAACTTGTAATTCATGTTCAAAGACCGTCAGGATTGTTGTTGTAATTTATTCATATTGTGTGGCTATGCAGTCGTTGAGTTGAATTAAATAAAAATTGAAGGATACCGATCGTATTTAGATGTTGATTCCCGCAAAAACTAACTCTCTTAAATCACTTTTCCATCAATGCTCATAGACTTCTATTTTAACTAACGTATCGTTAATAATTATACACAATTGTATTGCCTATAGGTACTATGTTCGCTGAAAATTAGAGAAAATTTGTTTTTCGATTTTCTCAAGAATTTCAAACAAAAATATTCGCAATTGATACTCACTTTTCCTATACAAAAAATTTTAAATAGAGACATCACGATATTTTTATTTCAAATTTTGCATATTCATAGCCTTAGGCCTTCGCGACTCCCTCAATTCATCCGTAGAGTCATTAATAATTAACAATCGGACTGCTGTGATGGTTATGGAGGCAAAGATCGGCAATCTATTGTCATATCCCAATTACATATTCAATTTCATATAATAGAAGATTTTATATATAATAAATGAAAGAATTTATATAAAAAAGCTGTGGAAATAAAGATAAAGAAATATATATATATATATATATATATATATATGTATAAATATATGAAATACTACATATAAACTGTGTTTAATGCTGAAAAAGTTTAAAAAACATTTAAATAAAACTAAATAAAATTTGACCAAGTATAAATTAAAAGATATTTTGTATCTTTATGACAGTCTTAGAAACACACATAATATTTTTAAGCTTTTTTCTTGCGGTAGAAAATTTAAATTTAGGATTATATAATAAATTTTCGAAAATTGACGTTTCTCGAATATTTATACATATAAGAGTTCAGATTTCCACCCGGATGCTCTCCGAGTGTCATGTCATCCTTGTTTAACATTCGATAAATAATAAAGATAAAGTGATATCTGGGTGGCACTCGAATATAGGAATCTGAACATAGCCAAAGTAAGTTTATATTCAAGAGATAAGACTCTCTCTCTCTCTCTCTGATTGCCGATCTCTTCCCTGTGAAGTACTTGACGTTTCCTAAAAATTTAGCAGCTCGTTGAAAGCATCCGCTCGGACTTTCGTTGTCTGAACTTCTAACGAACGAGCAAGATTCACACTTACTTACGTCTAAAGTATGTATAAGTATAACTGTATGTGGATACAGGTATCGTGCGTACAAGCACGATTTTTATTTTTCATGTTCATTATGTTACACCCGCCTTATGAACCCGCTTTCTTCTATATATATATGTATATATATATATATCATATTATTACAAAATCTAGTCTCGTTCGAGGATATACCGAATCGAACGAATCCTAAACGCTTACCTCGAAAATCCGAACGTTCATACACAGCTTCTGTGTTATTTACATATATGTATTCGTCAATATGTAATACGAGAGTATGTACATACATTAAACGTGGTCCTATATGATTCATATGTCTCGTTGCCATGTATATGTATTTTTGTTTATTTTTATACTTAACGCCGATAAATTTTTGCTGCATCCTTGTGTATAACGGCTTATACCTTATATTATAATAAAAGGGTATTCAATGGATTTTACCTAATGGGACTTTATGTATTACGTATGTGAAAAAATGTACATTATGTATATATTGCATATACAGAGTATATAAAAAATACGCTTCTTTTCATATTACACTTATTTTAAATTTAAAAAAACGTTGTTTGCTCTAATCCTTTGTTGAAGTAATTTCATAAATCAAAATTTAATGTCAAAAATAAATAATGTGAAGTATCACATTCTTCAATGTGTTAAATTTAGTCCAATCAAATTTTTCACTTCATCGAGTACCGTTTTGTAGCTATACGAATATTATATACGTGCACACGATGTATTTTTTATATACCTTGCATATTTTATATTATATGAAGTGCGTCAAGCAAGTCTGTGATGTGCTTAAAAACTCGCCGGATTCCTGTAAAGTGCCTTGCATTATTGCAATGTGCATTATCACTAAGTGTATAATATATTTAAATACAATAATATATTATTTACAATACAGGATCGAGCCTTTGAATTTTACATTAATGCAAATGAACATTAAAAAAATATATTTTATACATCTAATAAAAGGTCGGCACTTTTATTACAGTAATTTATTTAACGCATACGAATTTCAATTGAATAATTGATCGTAATAACCATACATTTAAGCGCAATTAAATTAATACGACGAATCTTGCGATAAATCTCACAGTGGGATATTTCCTGAAAGAATAACGGGAAAGCAATATTAAACTGCCGGCATTTTCTAGCGAGCTTTTAAGCTAAATGAAAGTCCGATCTGACGAGAGACTTCACTATACCGTATTTATTGTCGTGCCCTCCGCTCTGCGTTCGGACTACAGTATACGTCGGCTCATCTAATCGTAAAAGTGCACCGACCGAATTAAGCCACGCCAATTTGCGATAGTCGAGCGCACATTTAACCTGTCCAGTGTCCTGATCGCGACAGATGCTCATGGAAAGATAAAAAAGTATTGTGGAAGACGAAACGGGGCCGCAAACGGTCGCCAGCGAAACGGGAGTCAGGAGCCTGAGCGTGCGTGCGAATCTCGAATAAATTTAATTTGGTTTGATAAAAACTTCGTATCTTATCGATCCTCCGTATTTTATATTGATATATTTGCAATTATCAATAGCAACAATAACAGCACACAGTGATTTATTTTCGAACCACAGCGAATGTTAAAAACGGGAAATTATGTATATACAGAATAATTCACAGAAGCTCCATATATAGAGCTCGTCAGGATCAATTTAGCCCACGTTATCGCGTTTCGGACCGCTCAATTATAGAAAAGCTCATGAACTTTTTCTGCCTATATATGTATATATCTATAAGTAGATCCTTTGATTAACGTGGATATAATATAAAGGAAAAAATGTAATATATATATATATATATATAAAGTAAAGGTTATACAACATTTGTTAAAAATAAAATGTAAATCTCCTTAATTTTTATGCTAATGTTTCAATTATTAACGTCCGCACATACAAAGTAAAAGGAATAACTTATATTTTGAAACACGTATTTATTCCATGTACTTCAATTCTAAGCGGCAAGAATACGAACATTAATTTGCGAGAACTCTTAACATTGAATCGAAAGTTCGTGCATCGCGTAAATTTCGTGTTATCCGCGCGATAGAAACGTCTCTCATAAAACAGCTGATGCAAAACAGTTTTTCGATAAATAGTGTTAAAAAAACAAAACGAGTTATTCTTCGATCAGTCTATTTCGATCTACAGATTTGTTTGCCTCCTGCTTCGGCTTTTTGCAAGGTCTGTTGAACAGTTAAATTCAATAGCCACGACGAGATCTACGCGAACTCTGCAGCATGCAGGACGTCGGCACAGAGAACTCATCTAGCAGTTCTGGCACATTCGCACCCCGATGTTATCTCCTTTTTCCGTGTTCGCCGTGTCGATCGAGCGATGCACGAACTTGTTTGACCTGTATTTTATCTACAGTCCGATTAATCGCCGGTTACGTCTAAACGAGAGAAAAAGAGAAAGAGAGAGGGGGAAAAACCTCTCTAACTCACGTGTGTTGACATCGTGTCGCGTATATTTACAGAAACCCTGTCGAAAGTTTCGACGGAGTCTTTTTGGTCGCAGCAGTGACTACATCCGATCGCATCTAGAAATACATCCTTGTTATATCGAATAAGGGGAAGACCTATTTCTTTTTTTTTTCTTCTTTTTCAACTTGATTTTGCTTCATCCTCTCAACTTCATTCTCATCACGAGTCTCAAATCCTCAAACAGTGCTGCAGAAATATTTAAAAAAGAAAATTGGATTCGTCAATTTATAATTGTTTAAATTGTGATAACGGACCGAATACAAATTTGAAATATAATAGAATACAAGAATTTTTGGTTTCATGAAATTTTTATAGAATTATATTTTTGTATAATTATATATATTTAAAGTTTTCCAACAAAAATGTTAATATATATTTCACTGACTTTTTATTGGTAAAATTTTAGAAGCACTGTTATAAAGTCTAAATAACTCGGAAAAGCAGAGTCATTTTCCTTTCTGTATATTTTGACCGAATTTAGTCGACCTTCACATTTATATTTACAATCATCGCCAGAGGGACTGACCTACCCAGATAGGATTGTCGCGTACGCACGGCGCGTCCCTTTGCGTTACTTTTAGGCGACTAATGAAGATCCACGAGGTGTCTCTAACTGACCCTTTTGCTTGCCTTTCTAAGTTCATTCATTAATCTCTATCCTGAATTTATAATAGTTTCGTATGCAAACGATGTCCGATGATACCTGAAATATTAATTCTCTTATCAACAAGAAATTAAATATCGCAATGATTTAACTGAGAAAAAGAAAACGATTTATCCCGTTCTTTAAGTAAAAATGTGTTTTATATATTTCCTTAAAAAAATACCCAGTAAGCAAGGAACATTACATTAATATTTTGAAACATTGATTTTATATGAATTTTATCAACGTTATTACTTGTTTAAATATTGCCGAATAACATATTTTTCAATATTTAAAAAATATTTCCGTAATATTATTTGAAATGTTTTATAAATGTTGCTCTAATATGTTTATTTAGATGATGTCAACATATATGCAATGATATAAGAATATTTTGTCAATGTTCTTATATAATATTATATAAATGTTTTTAAAATATTGCCGAATAATATATTTTCGTTAGTGTCAGTATCAGTGCACCCCTCGCCTTGATGAAGTGAACGGCATGGTTCACGAAACGTTGGCATTAATAATGAAGAAAGACACGGCGATAACCCGCAACCCTTCTGGTATAATTGAAGAAAATACCCGTGAAAGCCTCAAAAGCGTAATATATTTTCGAATATTTAAAACATATTTCCTTAATATTATTCGAAATATTTTATAAATGTTGCTCTGATACGTATATTATATTACAATATTTCATATTTTTTATATGATATTTCATCATCATATGAATATTGTTCTAACGTAAGAAAAATATTACTGCAACATTAGTTCCAATGATATTTTATCCTTATATCAATATTGTTCTAATGAAATAAAAATATTATCGCAACATTAGTTGTAATGATATTGAATTTCCATATCAATATTACTGAAATCTCTAAATGTACGTCAAAGTTTGTTTACGATAACATTATATACAACATTAACAACTACATATTCCAAAATGTTACATGTTGTTAAATATCATTTTAATAACGTTGCTGAAATAATATTTTGCTTACTGGGTAATATCTTAACCAATGTGATGATATGCGATTAAAGTTTTTGTAAATTATAATTTTACAAAGATAGATTTCTAGAGTAATCACACGACAAATTTAATGTTTACTTTAAAGTTATGATTAAAAAGATAAAAGCTGCCAGGGAATTATATATAATAAATGATAGAGAGTAATGAAGATAATGACCAGGCAGTCGATGTCAGATTCTGTTGGAATCAGGCATTTCTCCCCTTAAATAGATTGGTTTTCTACTCTTCAAAGATATTGGATTTCGCGATCAATACTTAGAGCGAGGCGCGTAATCCGAGAAAGCATTTTGACATCGTAAAAAACGTAAAGTACATCAAATAATGATTAAAGTAAAAGAGACCGTAAGTAATATTCAGATTTCTTTATAACGATTACCCTCTTTAAATATATTCTGACAAGCTTTGAGAGAAAACTTTCGCCATTATTAACAGCAGAGATAATCGTTTCCTACAAGGCAGTTATGTAACATTGAATATTTTAAGATTGACTTTATCGTAGGAGAAAGAGATATGGTCACGTTAATGCAAAATAAAAAAATTACGTAATTGTACTTACAATTTTTAGAGATAAGTTTACAATTAAATACATATTTAATAACATAAACAATAAAAGCAGAAAAAAATTAATTTAAAAAATTCACAATAATTTCAAACGTGTGTTAATCTAAAAATTTTCAAGAAGTCAGTAAATAAAACTTTAAATCATCGTTAATTCATCAAATGTTAATTCTTCTACCTGTGTCGCGCAGGATCAAGATCCTTTTTTATCGTTCTTCGGTCTGACTCGTGGATCTTCATATAATCGCCGTTTCTCTCATAATCACCGTTTTTATTTCTGAAGCTCTTCCATCATCGTCTTACAAAGTGGTCGACAGAAGAAGCAAAAGTAAGATCGCAGACACCGGGGGATGCCTGAGATTCGCGGCATTTACGATGCCCCAAGGCGGTGACGGTAAGGAAGGCACGACAGGCCTGTCCGTTCTTTGGCCCTCTTGAGTGCTACCAGTCATGATCTGCGTGGTACCGAAATCATCATCGCTGTTGACGGAATCGCCTTCCTCGAAACCGCCTGTGTGTCCTCGCCTACCATTGCTGCTGTTGCTCTTTTTTTTACCCTTCGATACTGGCTTCTTGCGCTGCCTAACATCCGTGTTCTTTGTGAGTGTCGTCGGTGTCGTCTTCGCGGAAAGATGAAGTTCTAAACAGGAAATGATAAAATATCGTGGTATACTGTACAATAATATGCCGCAAGGTAATAACGTTGAGAGAATTGTATTAACGCTAATGTTCAAAAATCGAAGTTTTTATAATTTACTGATAAAACTTAATTAATTTATTGGTGAAAAGTGATAAAAGGTTCTGTAGTCTTTTTAATATTATATGCGAAAACTGCAAAAAAGACCAAATATTATTTATAAATACTGTCGGATGTATCACAAAATATATTGTTCATTTTATAATCAAGAATGAATTATTAAGATGACCCTACACGGTCAATAATACTGATCAGTAGTACTGAATCAGTAATACTAGGTATTATTGACCGTGTAGTAGGAATGGGCGATGTTTCAGAATTCAATTAATCGGTAAATCATCTTTTTTTTACATTGATTATGGTTGGCTTTTATTGGGCGCATTCAGTGAACTCAACTGTTGAGTTAAATGCGCCCATTGATCTACTCAAAGACATAACTACTTATAAGCCTAGAGTTCTAGATTTATTAGAGACTAGAGAGGCACGACCGATGTTAAGTGCCCTGGTTGGTCGTTGCCATGGAGGACTGGAGAGATCATTATTGGCTGCGTTCAGCAGAGACAGCAGCTTTACAACTATTGTAAAATTCTTTAATAGAATTGGTCTTGCCCTTACTTCCACATTAGATCTAAATGTATAACCCAATCATATTCTTTTTCTGCTTAACACAGCCATTGTTTTTAAGTAGTGTAGGAGAAGACGATTGGTGCATAAGACTCTCTATAAATAACAGTATTATGCTCTATTATACTCTATTTCTTCTTTTACTTTGCGATAAAAATAATTTAAAAAATTATAATTTAATTTCTAAAAGTTGATAATAAAAAAACAATAAAATTCAGTAATAAGTTTTTTTTAAATCATCATTTTTATAATACTAACATCGACTTTTTTTCTACGATGAATCGGTTAATTAAAAATCGGATCATAATTGATTATTATAGAATCGATGCTTTTCTTGAACATTGTCCATCCCTACCGTGTAGGGTGACCTGAGCAGACAAAACACAATTTTACATAATATCAAAGAATTCTTTGTACCTTGCAACCGCACTACGCCGTCGTACTTCCCGAGCGCGTTAACAGACGAGCACACGTATCCACCAAAGTCCCGTTTTTCCAGGGAATTGACAGTGAGATTCATTTGCCAGGAGTACTCGTTCAACGGCTGCTCCGTCATTACGTATTTGTCACTGGGCAGCAGTTTCTCGCCTAAATAGAAAGCGAATGGAAATATTGCGCTGTTTTTAATTGCGCGGCTCTTTCATGTGCAGCAGAAACGTTCGCCGCGGAATTTAATTTCTGCCCCACAAAAGCGATCAAAAATACAATCGTGCAATATAGGCTGGTACGATCCAGTAAAATACTGCTCATTTAAAACGTGTCGAATAACTGACAATTATTTAACTTTAAAACTTGAATTTTAAAACAGTGCGCACGACTAGTTTATTAAACGTTCAAATTACGTTTCAAGTGTGTCTCCAAGTACGCTTTCATATTCAAAAATAAAATGTTTGCTTTTTAACATCAAAGACAGCTAACGTTTATAGTAAAATAAGTTCTTACTACTAATACACCGGGAAGCAATAAATATTTTTGCAAAAAAAAGTAAAGAATCAAATAAACAAGATGAAAACCATATTCGTACCCACACTCGAGTCAATAACTGCAAGAGAAATGTGTAGCTTACAAACAACGCTTTTATGGTTTTCCAATCAGAGCGATATAAATGACTCAATTTTTGCTATACAACTGTATCAATTATTCTCATATGTATTTTTCAATATTTGCGTATCGTTTATTGCGCAGCATAAAGTAACGCTTTGAAATCATCCGCGAGAAACTGTCGTCGTTAATAAAAAATTTTCAAACGCATTGATTTTTACGGGAAATTTATGGAGCTTTTTTTTCGGAGCGGCGGCGCGTTTACGAGCAATTCACGAATTTACATATTTGATTAACGCGTCTGGTGCAAAAAGTCTTTTCGCGACGCGACAAAACTATAATACAATCGCGTGAAATGTGTGTATATACGTGCGTGTATATATGTGCATGGATGCACAGATTTTCAATCTAACGCAATTCTGACTTGCAATCAATATTATTATACGTTGGAGTTTCCGCTTTAGAAACTGATTGCAACGATTCTGTGGTTAATCAAGAGTGCAAATCTGTTGGTATAACATGAGATAATACAAATTATGGGGTGTCTGATTATCAAATTCAAATTTTAACACTTTTCTTGGATGGACTTAATTTAATTCATGAGACATCTATTTTTTTTTCAACAATTTACGAATTCGCATAAGTACTTCGAGGTTTTCAAAAACAGATTTCACGTTAGAAAGAATTTGTCTCCCCAAATTGTATAGATAATTCACTCTTTACAGAAATAACAGATTATACGAAAAGTAGATCGTATGAAATATCTTGTCATCTCTCACCTGCATCTCTGTACCAAGTATTCATAGCTTGTGGTGACGCTTCGACGTAACATTGCAGCACGACGTCGCTATTAATCGGCGCAGCCACTAATTGATTTGTCACTTTAATAAGAGGTGAAACTGAAATAACCAATTATTAAATTATTACAATTAAGGTATATAATAATGTAATCTTTGATATCGATGGAGAATAGCACATTGCCTCGTTGTCTTTTTTAGTTGTTTGCTCCAAGAACAATCGTTTTGTTTTAAATAAAATGTGCATCGTTAATATTACACCCAAAGTAAAAATTAAAATAACAATAAGTAGACACGTGTCGTTTATTTTGCACGTTTTCAGTTTTAAATCTTTATATTTCGTTAACGCGATATTTCATGACCTTAGATCACAAAGATTATCTTAAATGATTACTTTAATTAAAAAAACAGTTATGATAGATGAAACAAATTTTATGCGCTATTTAGAGGACAGTAAAATGAGGTCAGTTAGAAAACAAAATAGATGAGTAAAAAAATAGAGTGAAAAATACATTTGGAATCCCAAAGGAGACCGCGTGCTGCTCATTCAAGAATTAACTGGTTCTGTCGCACGTTGTGCACGGGAGCCACGGTGGGTTAATATTACATTTCGTAAGCAGCGAATTAATGCGAAACCCTTTGCGCTCAAATATTTACACGACCCGCGACGACGTGGATAAATCGACAAGCCCGCCAGTTAATTTTGCAGTAGCGCGCGGCCGGAAGTTTCGCGCGCGAGAAAAACGCCCTGCGCGGGTGAACTTCGGGGGTTGATAAAGTTTTCATTTGCGAATGCCGTTAACCAAATTGCACGGTGATTTTTTAGACTCCCGATACGCGCGGCGTATAACGTTGCGAACAATGCGCGCATTTCCGGTAATTCTATTGTTTCTCCCAGAAGAATGTTATTGGCATACTTTTCGCAACAACGTTGTCTTCCAGTGATGAAACTTTGGATTGCTTAACATTAAAACAGATAATTTTATTTCTGCGTTATTATACGTGATATTTAAAGAAATAAAATTGTGTGTAACAGCGAAATAAAAATATAAAAATTTTTCAAATTATGATTGATGATGAATCTTCAAAAAAATTGAAAAAATATTCATTATAATATACCTACCTACTAATGATTGTGTTTTTTTTTTTTTTGCTTAATATTAACAAAGTTGTGCGATAGTTTTAGGGGAAAAGTTTTTGAATGTGGGAAAATTGAGGTAATATAGATATCGAAAAATGTTTTAAAGTTTAACTCAACCTCATTTCCTATTTAAAATCGCTATCGGTATATTCCTAACCACAGCGCCGTATAGAAGCCAGATGATAGTTTTACCGCCGATATTGAAGAAGCATTAATAATTGATATAATTTTCACTAGTAATTAAAGTGTATTGTAATAAAGTACATTTACAAAAGAGTTCGACATGATTGAAATAAAAACACCACACTATCTTTAAAATTTATATAGTTATAATTTGGAAGATGTATTATAGAAGTGTAATGTTTCGATACAATGCTGCTCCAAGCACATATTGTTTTAGCAGCATTATAATCATTATGTACCCCGTTTAATTAAACAATTAATTAACGCTCTCATCTTTATCCGTCCGTCTTGTCATACGTGAACTTATGAAAGACGGCGAGTAATTATGCAGTATAACACATAGGGAGGAGGTGAGATCCAAGGGAATCCTTCAATATAATAACTTTTAAAGTCAAAATCTAACTTTTCAGACAATCACGTTTCTTTGTAATTAATTATCATTCATTATTAATTAATCATGATGCTTTGTCCTCTATAAATAACATATTGTTTTTAATTTTGGAAAGTTGAAGCTTTCATGATACATTTCATTAATGTGCGTGATTGACGGCACCTATATCCGTTGCTCGACAATTGTGAGAACATGACCAGGATGATGTTCGGGCATTCTGCTCCGGTAATGTATTCAACACGACGACGACGAGGCAACGGCTAATTAACGTCCGCATCGCGGCGCGATACCTACAGTGAACACCGACGGAGTAACGCTTGCTGACCGTCGGTGGCACATTGTTGCTGGCTATGCAGAGATACGTGCCCATCTCTTGCCGAAGCACTCCCGTCAGTTCCAACGTCTCACCGACGAAGGTTTTCAGAGCTGCAACCGGGAAGATCAATATTTAGCACTTTTAACATCGGACATATCTTCTCTTGTGCGACGTAACATCCCCCGAGAGACAAAGACAACTTGTAATTTTTTTCAGTCTTCTTTCTTTCAAAATTCTTTCTTTGCAAAAATTTATGTTCTTTTATATCGCATTTTTGATGCAACATTAATAATTTTGCATGCGGTCACAGTTTATGTAGATGTAATTAACTTGAAATGAATAAATTCCGATAAACTTTACTGAGATTTCCGTTGAATGTGTATTTGATGCGCATGGTCGTCTACATAATATCACTAGCATAATTTTCATATGAAAATACATTTTCAACATGAAAGTTTCAGTAGAATTCATGTGAGAGTATTGTTTAGAATTTTATATCGCATACTCGGATCATCAGTGCTGTTGAGAGCGGAGAAAAAAATAAAAGTTAAATCGTAAAAAAATAAAAGTTAATATATGTACCATAATATCGTAGAAATTATTTATTTAGTATTTCAAGCATTATTTTGAACGACAGTCTTTAACAGCTATCCGTCTTATCAAAAGTACCTGCATCATTTATTCTTGTTTAATATTTGATGGGCAACTGATGTTTACAGTGTGTGAATGTGAAAACTAACTAAACGCACTCCAAATCAGCGCCCGATATAGAACTAAAAAATGTATTTGCACATTTGCATATAAATATTATATTAAACACCAAGATCTGTTTCGACCAAACATAGAATTTTTGTTATTATTTGTATTAATAAATAAGAAATATTACTATTCTACAAAATTTATTCTTATCGGTCTAATTCACCTAATATTAAAAAAAAAATTATATATTTTATGGAACGCTCTAATTGAATCAACTATTGTAAATTATTTTTAATTTACGCGCATCCCCAGCATTTTTTCGTTCTTATTATCAAATCAATATGTAAAGACTTCTCGAAAATCGCCGTTTAAATTTCTACGGGATGCAGTTAACAGGGGTTCATTGTTCCGTCGACCGTCAAATTTCGAGTGTCGTTACCAGGAATGCGTTGTAAAAGTTTACAACGTATATATCTAGTCCCGCAATCCCGTTTCATCGGCGATGCGAGAGAGTCACGTCGTCGCGAACGACGCATCCGCGAGGTGACGAGATCTCGATTGCCAACTTGGGTGACTCGTTCTCCTACGTCTTCCATCTTTCGCGATATACGAAGGAATCAGCAGGAAGAAGAAGGCGACTTTACGACCGTTCGTTCGTGCGCTATCATTCGTTATCTTTCTTCCTTCTTCTTGGACGGATCTTTTCCGCCGATCTTCTGCCGAAGTCCTTTCCGCGTTTAACGAGTGTCACCCTGGATGTTCTCCAGGTGTCTATTTTTACGACGCTTCGGAGATCAGGCTGACACGGGTGAGCAAAGGAAAGCACGATGGTTGAAGGGGAACGATGGCAGTAGGAAGACGAAAACGGCACGAAGTGGCGATTACGATCGGAGAATTTCTTCTTTTATGTCCTGTTCCTTCTCTCTACCCGCCTCGCAGATTCTCGAGCTCTCTTATTTTTTTTTTTTTTTTTTTTCCCACGCGAAAACTCTTCGACTAATCTCTCCAGCGAGAATGACGCTAAGAGGACAGGTCGTCGGGGATTCGGAGATCCTTCCAGCGGGATCGCAGCTTGTACACGAAATGTACTGCGCGTATAGCGGATCTGGGATTACGTAGGGTGACGTGGCCGGATTGCTTGTAAGAGCGGTCAATAAGTGTACTTTAACTCGCGAAGGACGACAAGCGGATCCTTGTCCTCAAGCTCGTCGCGCGGGGGTCGTTAACCCTTGTTAAACTTTAATCCTTCGGGTATAGGATTAATCGCGAGAAGACGAGTTCACTTGAAGTTTATGGAACCTAGAACGATTCTTCTACAATTTCTCTTAAAATCCGCACAGGAGGCACCAAATAGATCTTTGTTACACGCTACTTTATCGTCAATGTGAGATTCCCTCGGCGTTTCCTTCCGATAGAAACGAGAAGACACGCATCGCGCGCGACTATAACGAAACGGAGGGTGGTACGAGCGGCGCGTCGTAGAACGCAATACGTATTTATCGATTTATTTATTTTATGATTAAACTCGAAGCAGCGCGACGTAATAATTTATGGTTTTAGACGTATCCTCCCTCTTCTCTTCGCGTATGCATTGTGGGGGAGTGTGCTTATGTATTTGCCGCGGGGTGTAAATTACCGTTCGCGCTGTAATTAATTACCGACGGGCCCGAGTAAGCGCGAGAGACGATCGATTATTCCGCGCTGATGCGCCACGACACTTTATCGCTCCGACACTTTTCCGGCCGCGTCGGCACGGCCGTCTTAATTAGAGAATCGACATAATCGTGGCACTTTTTTCCCCGGGAGCTTTATGCGTATCGCTGACTCTCCTTGAATTTAATCCCGCCTAACAGCGCGAAAAGAATGGATGTTATTATATCAAATGATACTCATAAAAAAACCATTGCGTCACTTCATCACTTCCTGCAGCTGAAAACTTTTTATCCTTACGCAAAGGATCTCTTTGTCATTTATAACGGTAATAAAATCAAATGTCATTTTTGTATTTTATATATTATATATTGATCTGGATATTCAATAATTAAGATAAATATACTCATACAATAAAATGACATTGTTCTCGACGAACTTCTCTTTGTGAAATCAGATTTTGATTTCTCCATTCAAATACTGTTTCTCATAATGGAATTTATGTATTTTCTATTGTACAGTTTCTACGATATCTGCAGTGCTCAATAAATTATTCTGCATTCAACAATGGCAATGAATCAAAGACGCAATTCAATAATAAGGCTAAGATGACCGAGAACGAGAAACCATGTCGGCATGCACGAGCGTGTCGTTACCTATGACCCTGTTTCTGCAATATGTCCTGCTTCGCAGTTAGAATTCGCCGTTCAACATGCATCCTATACCAAGTCGGACGTTAACTTTGAACGTGTGAATCCTAAACTAATGTCAAACCTTCGACTTTAAAGTAACTCCAACTCTCTCACCAACTCTACTTTAAAATAACAAATAAGCAGAATTATTTTCGAGACTCTAAACAGATGTATATATCTTTGCAGAAATTTATATATTTTATAACAAAACACTGGATTAAGTGCATGTGATTAATTGTCAAATTTCTAATAGTTTATACAATCTATCTAAAAGTACACTAACTTTATATTATGTTCATACTTTCATATTTTTTAAATATTTCTCAGCAGTTTTATCTTTCTAAATAAACCGAGAAAAATACATTTTTACTACTCTCGATTAGTATCGAACGCTCAAACAACGAGAATTTTATAAAATCATTATTTTAATACAAGTTAAATAATTTTTAGCAGTAAACGATACTGATTTGTGCGTAGACTAATACATAATCAAAATTTATTCCTATTTTGTACACAGTATTATTAAACAATTATTAATTAAAGTTGTGATTAATGAGACATTGTATTAAATTCAATTATAAAGAGGAAGATCCGATCGCGAGTTTAATACTTTGTTTCTATTTACATTTCGGAAACGTCGCATGCGAGCGAATGCCTGTATGCTATTGTTATCATTATTGTTCCGCGCTGAAACCAATTAGTATCATTAAATTCGAGAATATGAAGTTATTAATGATTTAAATGAATGAGTAAAAGGAACATAATTGGCTACACAATATTCGGGTTAAAATGAAATACAATATAAGCATCAAGGAATTTCTCAGAATGTACAATCCGTTTCTATTTAACAATACAATGCAAGGTAAATTTGAATATAAATTAAATTCAATCGTCTTTATATAATACGACATATCATTACGTGAAATCTTGCAAAATTCGCAAAACTATTTGTGCAAATATTAATTAAGAAAATTTTCGATTTGTGAATTCTACATGTATTATGATATTATAAGGTTAGAAGGAAGAGAGTACACAAGCTTTGTTTTTAGAATATATCCTGTGATATAAATAAATCCGGTTTACATTTTGCCCACTTCGCGTATCTCAGACGGTCGTAATTTGCACTGTTTGACTTTGTTGAATCTGTTATTATTCCGTCGAAATATATATAGTCATCTTGCCAAATGCGTTCGTGAAACATGCGGTTTCAAAGGAATCTCAGATAACTCGATTTTACGAGAATGCCGAGTTCTGTGAATGTAATGCGATTCAAAGCTTATTCTAAAATATCAACGGTAAGTGAATATAAGTTCATCAGAGCATGGGCTGCACAGCGGTTTGCATGTTATATTTTGAGCTCGGTGTACCCGAATCTACTAATGTACGTATCCACTAATGTATGTCTATTGAATGCTTCTCATAGTGATGAACGTTAATTATTAGTATCGAGCGGCTGGGGCCTTGAATGCATTTCAAATCTAGGTCTGATTTATCGCATCCCGCATTATTATTATCATTATTATTATTACAGAAATATTAATATAATAAAAGAAGATGAGACATCTCTCTCAAATTTTTAATTATAATAGAAAATCCGCGTTTCATTATTCGTCCTTTTGTGAAAATTAAATTCTTCATTTATTTTTAATATCATCTCTAATTAAAAAAAGTCCCGATTCTAAAGTTTAAAAAATTTTTCAACTCAATTTTCGAGACCAATGCTGCGTCGCTTAAGATAATGTCGTAGATAAGAAATCACTTATAAAAGCTCCTTCGAAGTACTGAAGTACACTTACATTGTTTCTGCCCATCTTCTCTGAGGATAATGTTACGACCGTCCTCTCGTTTCCAAGTGACGATAGGCTTCGGCGAACCGGTGGCGACGCATCGCAATCTTATATTGCCTCCTTCGTGAGTGACCATACCATCTGCAGACTCGTCATCCATTATATCGGGCGGTATCACTACTTCCATATACCCCATCTAAAACAAGACATCAAAAGATTCGTATGTATTATATGAGAAACTTCAAACTTCAGATTTAATCATTTAACGCAGCGATAGTATTTATGTCATAATACATATATATAGTTTGTTTAGAAATAAAAATTCACGTAATAAACCATTTGATGAATGGATTACTTAACGAGAATCGAATTGTATCATCAGTCTCTAATAGAATTTTATAATATACATATAGGTATATATATATATATATATATGTGTTGTATAAAATGAAAATTAATCAACATCATTGCTCTTTTAATTTTCTTTAATTTATATCACATCGGAATTATTTGAACTATTGTTTAAAATCACTCTCCAAACTGTATATAAGTATTACAAGTTGTCGAATATTACAAAAGGGTTTCTGTTATCGCGTTCCTTGTGCAACAGCAATCTGAATCATTTTATTATTAAAACTGTTTCTAGCAAAAGATAAGAACGGATTAATTGCATTTTGATGTACTACGAACGCGAAGATCAAAGAGTTAGAAAGAATTCCTTCTTGCGGAGTAAACAGCTCGTAGAGAGGTCATACTAAAGCCGTTTGCGCAAAGACAAGACTCGAACTACTCACCGGGAAAAAAGTACATTGTTTTACGGTCCCAAGCACGTACACGATGAGGGTACTCTCGCACAGGTATAACGTGCAAGAGTATAGAATTTACTGGACGTGAAATAGTACACGTAGCCTATCCAATTCGATGAAACGAACATGCAACAAAATTTATGGTTTTAGGCGGAATAAAATAAACGCCGGTTTGAATTTGCTCCTTTTATCACACGAATTTGTTTTTTTTTTTTATTTAGTAAACGTGCTCCGTTCATTATTACATAAAATTTGCCGAAATGAGATCTGCATCTACCATAATATTTTAATACCGCAATGAAACATCATTTAAAAATTTTATAGTTAATATTGCTATAACAATAATATCATATAGTCCGAAACGTGCAAACGTACAATTTTCACATATTTTATTCCATGTAAATACATAAATAAATAAAAATAAAATTCCCTGATAATTGACGAAATCTGAGCTTCAGTTGCGTTTAATTAGAGAACAAAAATTTATTGTTGCACCATGTATTTGTAGCGGTAAAATAATAGCGTGAAAACAACAATATAAAATTTCTGTTGCTTTACATCTTTCAATAATCCTTTTATACAAAAGTACTTAAAAAGAATCTAATTAAAAGCGCTTCTTAATTATAAAAGTATTAAAAAATAATATAATATTAAAAAAACATAATTTATCAAATATCATTAATTGAAAAATAGTTCATCATATATTAAGAAATTTATAAACTTTTTAAATTTATAATGTGTTCTAATAAACTAATCTGAATTCAGGACGGTCAAATTTATTTAATATAGTGTTAAAAGCACAGTAAACATCTTAAGTTTTTAAGTCAAGATGTTTAAAACAAAATGTTGTAATTTTGTAAAATTCAAAACGCATGTAATTGATAAGAATCAACAACAATTGATGTATGTAGCAATAAGCTAATAAGAACACAGAACTGAATAATATTTATTATATCTCGCACACGTATGACGTAGCATTAAGCATTAACTTCATCATCGTCAAGTCGGAAATATCGTGTCGTCGCCTTGCGCGAGACGTCAGTCGACATAAACCGCACTAAAGTGTCTCGTGGCTGTGTAAAAAAGACATCGTTTTACGTCCCTGAGCACGTACCGGCGGTCGCTGGTGTGTTATGGGTTAACGTGAATGTAGGTCAAATTTACTGGTCGTGGTGCGGTGCACATGTCCCACAGAATTCAATGCGACCGGCAGAGCGGGAAACCTTCCGATGCAATATACGGCCCTGTGGCGAGATAAAGGGCCCAGAGTGCTCGTTGTAGTGCAAGCAAGACAAATGATAAGTTTGAGTGAGATAACACGTGCGCGTGTGTGGTGTGTATGAAGAAAGAAAACAAGATAAGAAGATAAAAAATAAATGGAAAAAAAATACAGGATCAGGATTTAAGAATTATCAGAGATCATATATAAAAATGTATTCAATCGCTTGTACAATTTACGTTCGATATGTTAATTTTACAGTGTCAAATTTAAATGGCCAAACTTCGGGAGCGTGTAGGGAATCGATAAACTAACAAAGAAGTCCTTTAGACACTTCTAAAGTTAGGCCATTTAAATTCGGAATATCCTGTGTATCTAGTGTCTTTTATAAATTAGCTGATTTAGCTAATATTTTCAAAAATTTTAAAAAGTTGTATTAATAAATCAAAATATTTATACAACTCCGACACTTTCCTCTCTATTTTCACATTGTAATCGATAAAGACTTTTTTAAAGGATCTTTTTTCCAACTTACGAGCGCCGATTTACGAAAGAACTGCCTGTAGTAACTGCCTGGTAATGGTTTGGTGAATGCGCGTCCCAAGTGGATAAGATAGCGATGTAAATGCGATAAATAATTTCACGTCGATCGACTTGGTCCGAGATTTAAGGTACGATGGGGTATTTTGAACGATCGATCCCAGAACCATCGACGGGAAAACAGTCGCCCGAGGATATACAATATATACACATCTGTTGCACTTCAAACAACGACAATAATTTTCCCTGCACCTTTTTGTGAATGCGCGGCTTACACTTTACCGAAAATCTACATAATTAAAACCACGCGACGTCACTTCGTGAGGATTTCGTTTCTTTTACTATTTCACTGGACCATCACAATTTTCCTTTTACATGAACATTGTGTGTTTATCATTGAACTCTCTCTTTCTCTTCTTTTCTCCTTTTTATATATTAATAAAGTTATATTAACAATATTAAGATAAATTGTCTTGACATAATATATGTAAGAATGTTTTCATTAGTTTAAACTTTTTCTCCATTTCTTCACATATAAAATGTAGTTATAGAATATTTATATAAGTTAAATTTTTATATTTAATAACATATTTGTAATAACTAACTTTTCGTATATATAGAAAGAAATATTTATTGATTATTATATCTAGAACACATATAAAGATACAAATCAGGATTCAAACATAAAGCGGAGTCTTTACGAATCTGGAGATAAGCCTCCATTTTAATTTTGACAACTTAAGATTTTCTACTTTAAATAACGTAAAAGCTTCTGATTCTCGACTTTGAATTGCAGCTGCAACGATAGGCTGATATTACAACCGATATTGCATCGCTAAATAATGGTCAGAGAGGGTTGAAGAAAAAGCGCGCGTTAAAAAGTTATGGTCGGGCTTGTGTATGGAATTTTAAAAATTCCACCGGACGGATCCGACGAAATTGCGCGAAACCTCGATCTTTTTAATCGAATTACGTCGCGCTACGCGACGTGGTGCTTTGTCGATGGAAATCGATAGAGCCGCGTGCGTAACGACCGTCGTGCGCGCGATTCTAGCGTGGAAACGCCGTCGAAAAATAAAGCGTCGTGCGGAAGGTAAATGAAAATTAATTTAACAGAGATACGTTGTTATTGCGAATGTGCGTCACAACGCGCGTTTTAACGTACCGGATTAATACTGTGAAGCGGCATTTGCGGTATTTCAAAAAATGCGGGTACCCGTGTCATAAAAAAAAAAGTAGTAAATAATAATGGAAAGATGTGTACTCAAAAACGCGGCGGGGATATGCAAAAGCATTGTTAGAAAAGAATTATATTAGACAATATTCAACATTAAAGACCGTTAACCCTTAATGGTCTAACGTGGGTCGTTCAAGTCCCGGGCGAAATTTGAACCTTTTATTCCCTCTTTTTAATGTTGAATTTGCCGAAAAAACGTTAGACTAGTAAGGGTTAATGTTGAATTTGTATCTAATTTTTTGCAATATTGAGGTTAAAAAATTAAGCATTTTTTTTCAAAATGGCCGCATGTACTATTTTTTTCCTAAAAGGTACACTCTTCACCTTTAATTTCCACTTTGATTTATGTCGATAGCTTCATTTGGATTGAAGTTATGATTTTTTAAGTGATCGAGTGATTTTACACGCGGTACCACCATTTTTAATACAAAATTATATACAAAAATAATTATTTTCGACATACAAATTTTTTTTTCTTGAAATTGAAGAATTAATGAAGGTCCATGAATTTTTGCAGATTTTTTAAAGCCCTTTAACATGTCTAAAAAACGCCGAGACACGAATGGCCCACGTTAGACCATTAAAGGTGCCGAAAAAACGTTAGACTAGTAAGGGTTAATGTAAGAACATAACTAATACGAATACGAAGCCTATTAATTATATTAGACTTTTAATTACATCACAATACGTTGTTTTACAACGTGTGCTTCTTTCAATATTTGAACATATATAAACGTATAGGATTGTTGTTCTACCTGGCTGCGCATGGGGTCGGTATTGACTTGACACATGTAGGTACCAGAGTCGTTCTTCTGGACATTCGACACGTGCAGCTTCCACGTGTTGTGTCCGTTGTGCGTGACGGATAGTCGGCTGTTGTGCGCCACCATGTGCGTGTGGATCGCCAGAATCGCACGAGAATCCGATTTTATCCAGGCTACCTGTAGTACCGGAAGAAAATTGTACTTTTTGCAATAAAGGTAGAATGGAAATTTTATAATCAACTGAGTACTTTTCTTTTCTAATACAAAAATATAGATAGACAGCCGCTAGAAAACGAACATAATTAGAGAAAATATAATAAAATTCAATATATTATTATTTATAATCACCAAAGTATAAAATTAATTAATTTAAACGTCAATAAAATCTATGCAATGTAGGATAATTGAAAAAAGAGATAAAAATTTTATTAAACTAAAAATATATATCAATAATATATAATTTTATTAAATTAAATGTATAAATTTGTCTAAAATTAATTCGCGACGTAACAGACACTCGCACCGTCATTTACAGTAGTTATAAACAGATATAGTCAGACTAACGATAACAACGAATTCACAAGGAAAACTGAACGCGAGAATGTGCAAGTTTAAAATATCTTATTGACAAATATATGTATTTTTTACTTTAATGAAAAATATAAGCTTTCATCGAACATCTATGCACTATTTATTTATTACAGTTCAAGAAGAGGGAGAGAGAAATTTTTAAAAAACACTGCTATTGTACTTTTCTTGATAATTCTTGAGATGTACGTTTTATAATTAATTATACGCTTTTTTTTTTTAATATTTAGTGTGCTATGAGGAGCAGTTCCATTTTAATATTTTTTACGATAATACATGAAGAAGAATTGTTTAGGAAAAAAACGTCGTACCTTGTACGACTGCAGATGATTAACGACGCAGGTAAAGAAGATGTCACGACCTTGAATTACCGTGTGATTTTCCAAAGGAGCTAAGAACTCGGGCAAAACTTCGGGGGTGATTTGGCCTGAAACAATACAACAATACGACGTTTAATTATTTCATGTTAATTCCTTTATGTCCCTTCCTCCCTCTCGATTGCTCGAATTAATAATGGAAGACAAAACCACACGCACATACCACACATCGGGGAAATATAATAAATATTGTATAATAAAAATTATTTTCTATAGATAATACAATAAAAGCTTTCGAGTGTTTGATACAAAAAGAAATTAAAGAACAAGTATTATAAAATATTTCGACGACAATGTTACACGTACAGACAATAGGAAAATATAAAAAAAAAATACTAAATTTATCATCTCTCAATCGCGAATTTCATTATTTCAACATTTCGTCATCGATAAACGAGAAGCAAAACAACGCATTTTTGCAACGTGTTATGTGTCGCGCTCAGCCCTTTCCAATCTCACCGGATATCACGAAGAGGTGATCGTGTCGCGCGCGTCGCGCTTGGAAAAATACGATGCGCTGCGAACGTTCGAAAAAAGGGAACGAAAGAATGAATGCGCTTGGCAGCGTCGACGAGTAGTGTCTCGCGGAATGCACAGCCGCGATTCACCACCGTAGAAGTGCATGCATGAGCGAACAGCATGCTGTCGATTAGATATTCAAGACGGAGGTCGAGGATGGGTAGCATCCCCCTCGGGCTTTCACCTTCGCGCCCTCCAGTCGGCCTGGAAGAGTAGAAAGCCACCCATATTCTCGTATCGAATTCTTGTATGCGTTCATGCAAGAAGGACGATAAATGGAAAAATTCTTGGATCTCGCAGTCGTAATCCGGACACCCGGCATCATTGGCACCCCTAGTTTTCATGGGTCGGTTTTACGATTACCATGGATTGGCCGATCTGCCCTAGCAGCTCTCGCGCACTTTGCCCCCCTCCCTCAATCTTTTCTCTACGCTTTCGTTCCGCTCTCTTTCCCGCTCGACCCTTGCCAACCTTTTTATTAACTACTTAAATTTAATTTTCGCTTCATTGGAAAAAAAGCTGCGAAACTCCTCTGGAAAATGTTGTAGATTTATCAGAAGTAATAGTCTCTGATGAAGAAATAATAGCCACTGCGCATAGATAAAATATATATTTTTTAATTCAAACAATCGTTATACTTGTAATGCCAGTACAACTATTATTATACTGGCATTCTTTATTTATATAATTTTGTTCCTAAGATGTCTGTTCTTGCTCCTCTTTGTGATGTTTTAATTAAATTGTTCCTCTTCTTTCTTATGACGTATAATATTCAGATATTTTAATACCAAAATACGAAATAATAGAAAATTTCATTAAGAAAAAGTTGATTTTCTGAAAGGTTCAAAGCATTTGTAGTGCAACTGCATTCATACTCAATTTTCCTTTAGCCTTTTATTCTTCCTTTTCCTCTAATGAAAGGACTCTAATTTTATGTTTAATTTTTCATAAAAGTAAGTTCTTATAAGCGGCAAAACGTATGCGTAGGGTTCGTTCGCGCACGTATGAGTACATGAGAGAGGGGAGGGAGAGAGAAAGATAGAGAAAGTGAACGAGAGAGCGCGAAAGAAACAGAAAAAACATAACGCGAGTATAGTCTGCCGCGTTTTTATTGCGCTGGAATTTCATTCCGGGTCTAATTGTAATCAGCGAGGTGTAATTCTAGCAATTTGTCGTAGGGATATCTAATTAATTAGGTCCTTTCGCGACCGGACAGAACGAGCGCTACACAAACGCATATGCGCGCGGTCTGCCATCTCCTCGTTAATTACACCGCGCGCAGGATGGAATTTTTCATCGGAATTATCACGCACCATCCGCCCAGGAAATTAAGATCGCCGCGATGTTCACGGCTGCACTACGCCGGAACCAACTTCGTTTTCCTTCTCTCGTTTTAGACATCGTTCTGTTTACGCTAACGTGAGGTGAAATCGTGCCACCAGGCATCTTCGTGCAAAAATACGCAGTCTCAGCTTGATATTGCACTGGCAGACGTAAAGTTCTTCTACCAAGTACTACATTCATTAGTCTAGTCGATTTTTTGTCTACCATATATCAAAATATAACAATAATTAATGGCTCACCGAAAGAACGATTTTGCTGAAGTATCTACGATAAAAATTTGGATACTTTAAATACGGATTAAAAAATAATTTTATTAGAATGTGTGTGTGTGTTTAAGTATTGATAAAATTGCTGAAAAAATGTTTCAAAAATCGAACAATTTATTTGAATGTCCTACACATAATTATTTTTATAGTCCAAACAAAATTATATTCATATCTAACGAAATTTTTAGATACTTCAGAAAAAGTTTATTCCATGCTAATATTTATTACACGTTTTGCTCCTCACGCTTTAATCCCTACTCCAAAAATTTCGTACTCGACTAAGAATTCGCCATCTTATAAGAACTTTTCTCCATGTTATAGGCACATGTTACAGTACACAGACAATTAAGATACACACAAAACACACATAGGCTCGGTTTTTCATTTGCTGGTTAACTTAAACTTAACTTGATGTTTTATCCAATTATTTATGGGCTTTACCTATAATGAGAAAAGTCTGGGTGAAACATGAGGTTAAGTTTAGCTACAAGTTTAACCAGCAAATGAAAAACCGAGGTATAAATACACTATCAACAATTAATCAAATCATATTAAATTATTATTAAAATGACATTTAATTAAGGACGCCTTGACAATGTTAATCAGTAGTCCCTGTGTAATATAATAATAAAATAATGCATAGGAATAAATTAATACGTAAATTATATAAATCATAGAGCTGTTTCAATTATTTTTGTCGTGTATATAGGAAAGAAATGAAAAATATAAATGGAGTTTGTAAGTCCGCCTTTTGACATCGATTCTTCTACGGTAAGAGCTAATAAGATCGTCAGATGTTCTTGCTGCGCAATAAGCACTCACGAGCGTTAATAAAATAGTTATGCAGCGTCTGAAGGCGACCCTTCACGAGCGGTATTAAAGGCGATTATAAAAGTCACAGGGCGTCGTCCTCGCTCTAATTCAAGAGACGGAACGGGATCCTCGAGAGCCGTCGGACGGCTCCGTGGCGATAGACTTGGGATGAGCAGTATCCGGTGATACCTCGCTTTATCCCGGAGAAACGACGGTAAGCCACCCATACAATGGCGTCCGCGAAGCCGTCCGCCGATTCAAAGAGTTTGGATTTCGCTGGCCTTTCTCCTCTGCGGCCTGAGAGAAATCCCATATCGTTGAAATCGCGAATCTAAAATGTGCTCTCTGGCCGAACGGTCTCTCGTTCGTGCGAGATAACGAAATGTTCCCGGGACAAAATGATCGTCAGCACTGGAAAGCCGCCCGATATGAAAATCTTCCTATCGCTGTGTCACACACATATCTTTAAGCGCTTCTTCTCTTCGTAATCGTCCGAAATGCATAGATTTGTTCAACGCATTTTGAAGTCTCAAAATGCGTTAGAAAACGCGACCACGATTTCATACAAAAAAGGTGTAGCCTTTGACTGTGTCAAAAACTGGCTTGCTACTTAAAGGATATTTGCACACGGGAAATATCCTATAACAGTTCTATAAAAGTTCTAGACTGTTTAATAAAAAGAAGCTTGTTGTTAATTGAAGACTAAAGATACATAAAAAAACCTGTTTATAACCTTTAGTAGTTTCGTGAGAAGATGACACATAAAAATTGCAAAGAAGTAATTTTATTAAAAGGTATAAACAATTTAAAAAAAACGTCAAATTTTTGATGCAGAGATCTTATGATCATCATTTACGCAACAATAAATGATGATTTATAAAACGCTTCACTATTTGCTATCATAAATTAAGAGAAAAATATATTAATTAATTTTAATAAATGTTTGTTTAAATAGTACTGTTATAAATAAATTAAATATTTACCAAATTAAACATGTGGTTCCTTTGATATAAGAATAATTTAATTGTCATTTTTTTTTATTCAGTAAATATTTATTTATTGCAAGTAAATGTTAAGTATCAAACAATTTCTTGATATTTAGTAAACTTTTTGTTTTAAATGTACGCACGCACGCACGCACACATACACCCACGACGATTTTACTTCACGAGTATCGACAAACGAGGAGATTAGAAAGTAGTACGACTTTACGCAAAAACGATGAGATGCTTACGAAAATGTCAAACCGGTATAATTATAAGACATTTACGCAACAGTAGACGATGGTTCATGAAATAACTTCGCTGTTTGCTAAGAAAATGAGTTATCAAGAGGGACGAGAGCGGGGAAAGCACTTTTGGAGATTCCATTTCATGTGATATTCTGCAAACGAGGGTGGTTGGAAGCAGCAAGAAATGCGACACGCTCAAATGCGTATGCTAATAGGCCAAACGTGCTCCAGGCAAAAGCGACTATTAGCGTGGGTAGCGACAATGAGCCGATGTCATCAAAGAAACATTTGCACCCGCCACAGTGAAATTATTTCGATACGCAGCAAGCAGGCACGGAATCGATTATAAAGCCGAGAGGATTGACGAACAAACGGTTGTTTCTCGAAAAATTGACACTTTTTAGGTTTTGTAATATTAAGTTTCCTTCAGTTTCAAATCGAACGTGGGGACCTTCCTTTTGCAACAATTTAACTGTAAGTTGACCGAAACGTTTCAACGTTTAACTTCTAGGTTTTGATTATGCTCTGCACATTTTATACCACGAGCGCTGCCTATTTAAGTTTTTCATTCCTTCTCTTTTTCTTTTGATCGTTATGTTTTATCCTCTTGAGATGAAATTATCATTCTTTTTCTACTGGTAAACACAGCAGCAGCTTGTTGGCGGCTATTATCTTTTTCGTACTTTTTAACAATTAAGCACGACTTTACGGAATCAAATATTGTGCGTACGTAATAAAATTATTATTAACATCGTGACATTTAAATTTCTCATGAAATCGTGTCTACTCGAGAGATCGATAGAGAAATTAAGTTTTCTGCTGTACACACTTCAATTATCGATGCCGCAATACTGGAACACCCTTTATTCTTCTTAAT